TGATGTGCTTGTGTAGACTGATGGAGTGGAAATAGAGAACTCATAGATGCCCCGATTAGTTGTCCCGCGAAATAACACTTTCTCTGTTGAAGGGTCCTTCAAGAAAAAAGAGTTAGATTGAAAAGAAATAGATATATTGTTATCATGACAAAGCTGAGAAATAGAGATTATATTTTTCGTTATAGATGGAACAACAAGGGCATTTTTTAGCGTGAGATTAGAGATAGTACAAGAGCCTATATGAGAAATGTGAAGTCCCTTACCATCCCCAATAACTAATTCATTGGTACCATCATAAGTTGCATGAAGGGAGAGATTAGTGAGGTCGTTAGTGACATGATGAGAGGCACCACTATTAAGAATCCACGAGGGGGAGGGTGTAGAAGGAGATGAGAGGTGGGTGATATTGGCTTGCGGTTTGGAGGCAAGACGTGGAGATTGATGCGTGGAAGAGTTACGTGGTGGAGGGGGGGATGCAGCAGGGTATTGTTGGGTAAAGATAGGGCAGCGAGCTACAACATGACCCCTTTCTCGACACCATTGGCATTTGCCAAGAAAAGGGCGAGGATTGGTTGTGTTAGAGGGGGTAGGGAGGAGGCTGTGGGATGGCTTAGAGGAGGAGTGGTGGTGTGGCTTTGTATAGGAGGCAAAGGCAGTTGCAGGAAGGGCAGCAGCCGTAGTGGATTGAGTTTGAAGAATAGATAGATCTTTGTTGATGAGCTTCTCGTGAAGTTCTTCAAAGGAGATGGGCGTGTCTCGGCCATTCACAGAGTCAATGATTGATTTGTAGGAATCATCAAGACCAGCGAGGACACGATCTATGAAATCCTCATGGTCAATGGGCTTTCCTAGGGCAACAAGATGTCAGCACACTCTTTAAGAGAGCGCATATAGTCAGATATGGAGGATGGGCCTTTTACTATACGGTGAAACTTGTCACGTAATTGTTTTATGTGGCCTCGGGAAGGCAGGGCATAAGTTTGATGTAGTTTTTCCCAAAGTTGTGCTGAGGTTTTTGCTTGAGAGATTAGGGGCACTAAGTTTGGTGAAATAGTACCAATTAGGGAGCTTAAGAGAAGGCGGTCTTGGCAAGTCCAATAGGCATAGTCTGGGTTGGGGTTATCAATGCCATCAGTTGTGATCGTAGGAGGAGGGCATGGTGTACTTCCATCAAAGAAATGAAATACATCATAACCAACAAGCAAGGCTTCTACTTGGAGTTTTGAAGAGAGATAGTTGGTTGGGGTGAGCTTGAGTACATTATGCATGTTGTCAACAATGAACGGTTTCGTTGGATTGGAGGGGTTGGATAGTTGGTAGGAGGTGGAGGAAGACATGAAGTGCAACGAGAATAGGGTGTGGGCGTGGGTTTGGGTGGCCGTTAGATCAAGAATCTGATACCATATAAGATAAGAAGAATTATGTAACTTATTTGCTTGATTATTTACTGAGAAATGTACAGCATATAAATAGAGTTTACAAGGGAAATAAGATAATTACAAAAGATACAATTATCTCTAAGATTAAGGAAACTAGCTAAGCAATATTCACAAAGATAACAACCAAACTAATAGTTGTTGAAGGATAATATCAAGCATCAGAGTAGCTCGGATAATCAGCAGCTTCTATTATTATCTTTATCTAACAGTTGTAATCTAATGCTAATAATAATGATGAAGATTAATTTAACCGGTTATGATTAATTATATCACAAAAGTAATGATGGTATCCTTTGATTCCACTATCAAGAAACATAATTGAAGCTGATTTGTGGGATAGTTGCTCTAATCTTGTCATTGCTAAAGGGAAGGTGGAATTTACACCCGACCATTATTGTTATGGAGTTGATTATATTAACTATTAAGGGAGATGCTGACAATTCGGGTGATTGTTAATTGGAGATATGGATCAATTATTCCAAAGGAAACCGGTTCCATAGCATATTACAAGTAGAAATAATTATTTTACTCTCTTTATTTGTTTCGTAGTTCTAGTACTTTGTATTTAATTTGCTTCATCAACTTATTAAAATTGTTTATGTGAATTTGGTAGTGCTTTGACTTTTGTTTCCTAGTGTTCCATGTTTAGCTAATCTTGTTATATTTTGCTCCCTGTTAAAACACTATTTATGTGCTTATTAGCTAATTAATATATCTTTGTTTTTTCTTTAAAAATTAAATAAATTAACTCAACTAAACAATTGTAAAAGTTCGATCCTATTAATTTTTTTTTTTTTTTTACCTTTTCTAAAATTATTTAGAATCAATTTAACTTTGTGAGTCTTCCCAAATATTTAGATCAGGAAGAGGTAAGGATTACACTAAAACTTTAGTTTTGCGATTTCTAATGGTTATTCATTTTTCCCTAATAAGTTTTCCCAGTTGTTTAGTTGTTTTGTCATGTATATAATTTTATGAATATGATGTTTTTCGTCAATAAATTTGCTCAGAAAAATTGAGGTGGTTGTAGCAAGGAAAAAAAAGAAGAAAAGCATCTGACACAGTGAGAAGCAGTCTTAAGGCAAAAGAGTCTTGGGGCTTTTTAGTTAAGTAAAAAAATTCAAAACACTATTATACACCCGATTTTTGTAAATGTTTGTATATGATGTACTCTATTACTTTATTCCATCCAACAAGTTCTCATTTTGATTCTCATTTTAATCCCATAAAGGTTTAATGAAAATCCGATTGACCTTTTGAAAAATTTGTTATGCTTAGTGTGTGACTCGTTGGTTTTTATTAAAGTTGAAACTAAATAAACAAAAGATCAAATCATACGAGTACAAAATACAAATTAAGAACTAGGTAATAACTAATAACCAACTCACCGCATCTTATCAAGATATGTTAATTTAGGCTTTTAGCCCTAGCATTAGACTCTACTTGTATACTATATATTATGTGGAATTAGGGCATATTCTGATTTACTGAGCTAAACTGAACTAAACTGAATTGAACTGATTGAAGTTGAACTGAATAGAGCTGAAATGAATATTTTATGAGAGAAGGAAATTAGGAACTGAACTTAACTGAACTGATGAATTGATTAGAGCTGAACTGAAGTGAAGTGAACTGAAATTAAGCTGAAGAGAACATGCCCTTAGTCGCCAACCCGCTCAGTATTAGGGAGTACATGTTCGAGTGTTCTCAAGAGATTACAACATGAAAATGTAATGTGATGCAATAAGACCACTAGAGAAGTGGCTACAATTAAATACTCTGTACTCCATAAAGAAGAAAACGCAGCCTAAGTAGCTAAGTAAGGCTGAAGCAGAAGCTGCAGCAGCTTTATTGAGTCCATTCTGATGAATATCTTTAATACTGTAAATAAATATATTTGACAAAGGCCTAGCTATAACTAGCTACTTTGTACGAGTATTTTACAATTTTATTTTTAATTGTAACATTCTAAATTTGACTTCTTTTTTTTTAAAAAAAAGGGTGAATTTAACCAATAATATCATTATGGAAAGATACATTATAATTTATAATCTAGCAACATATTTCAATACATGTTAACTTTGTTTTAAACATTAATTAGTAAAAAAAAAAAAAAAAAAACATTTCAAAACCAACAAGATATTAGTCTATGAAGTTAAAGCGTTGCGCCTTTTTGTTCAATGTTCGTTTTTTTCTCGGATTAAAGTTCATGCTTTTGCTAAAATGCTTGTTACGCTTTCTAAAAAAAAACTTATTACATATGTTTAAATTAATACTTCTATTACTTTTTAATTGCACCATTTATGAGTAAACAATGTCAAAATATATAGTATAAATAGTATAAACGTGTGAACTGAAAAAATAAAAGAAGTATTTGAAGTAAAGAGTACCAAACAACTAAAGTATGGATACCCCTTTTTTACTCTACCAAACAACTATGAAATGGTACATGTGATTTAATGAGTTTTCTTTAGTCACTCGTAAAGTCATAAGGCATAATTACTATTTTGTGCTGTATTATTAAATTTTACAAGTATTAATAATAATCATAAAAAAAAATCAACAGTTTTTTCGTTTGTCATTTATTACTTCCACCCTCTATTCTTACTCCCTTCTTTATTACTGATCATTTTCTACTCAGTTTCTTCTTTTGCTCTCTTTGGTTTCTTTAGCAATAGTTCGGTTTCTTTCAAAGGTATCCCCTTCCATTCAAAACCTTATTCTTCTGAGCAACAACACAACCTCGAAGATACATAGATGATAGATGCGAAGGAAGAGACCAGAGGAAAGAGGGGGACCAAGGACAAGGGTGCGTGATCATGTTGGAAAAGGCAATCAAATGTCATTATTACTAGTACTACCCCATAAAGTAAGGGCATAAAATTGCTATATTTTGGGTTCATTGTGCAATTGACACTGTTGATTTATACCCCTAAATAGAGGACTGATTTCTCTGTTTTCGTTGTACTCGTAAAATTTTAAGCCATGAATACATAACAAAAATAAATAAATAAAATAAAAAACACCTTGTTTAAAATCTAAAACACCTTGTAGTAAAAAACACCTTGTTTATTATATGGGAAACTTTATCGAGAAACAAATTTAAAATCACGATAAAGTTTCCCATGTAGTAGCATCTAAAACACCTTGTTTAAAATCTATGGTATCCAACGACGTATCATGTGTAACAGCTTGATAAAAGTCTGTAAACCTAAGCGGTTCCGCAAACAGATGACATATGATCATAAAAACATATTGTTTTTCATTCTTAAACTTCAATATGTAGAGTGCTCTTAACATAGTTTGAGCACTCTTATTACTATTCATGAGTTTAGTTATAACATCGTTGGTATATTCCACCTTAAAACCAACATCATTTTTCTTTGCATGTTTCAACGTTATTGTACTATCCTTACAAATGAACCAATCTATATCTCTATCTCGAATATTCATATCAATATCATGATGTGCATAACCAAAAAAATAAGAATCACGTTTATAAACTATAAACGAGGTGGTAACATCATTACCATCATAATATCCCACTATTGTCAAAACAAAAATTGGATGACTAGGATCCTTATACGTAGACGGTACCGTTGTGCCACCCCTACAACAAGCATTTCTAGCTTGAATTTCACTACTACAACATGAGTGTTTTTTCGACGCTGGGGCCTCGACGCTAGGTAAGGGGTGTCAGCAGGTAGATTTAGTATCCGCGTTTTTTGGACGTTTTAGGTGACGAAAGCAATTTTCGTCGCTAGAAAGCATCGAGAAGACAAGCATATGTCACGCACGTGAATTGTTAGTACCTCACAACTCAGCCCACGTTTCAATTTTAAGGGGAAAATAAACCAAAAAAATAAAAAGACTACTCAGTTCTCAACCCTAACTATTCCTCCCTCCTTCATGAGATTCATGTATTCTAAATCCAGATCTTAACTCTCCCTGCAATTCCCCAAATTATGCTTGGTGAAATTTATCTACTCACTTTGAACTATTATCGATTTTGTCACTCTCTATGCCGCCGTTAATTCTAAGGTACATTTTTCGTTTTAGAACGAATTCGAATTTCGCTTTTGATTGAAGTCTATAAAATTGTTTTTAGCAACTTTTTTTTTCAATATTATCACAAAATTATGATCTGATGTTGTTTGATTTTTGAATAGCAATACAGAGATTATAGGGTTTCATTTTGCGATTTACATTTGAATCTGGGTTAATATTCGGTTATAAGAAATAGTATAGTCAGATTTCATGTGCGAATTTAAAAGAAGTTTATATTCAATCGATTGAATTGGAAATTTTGAAGCAAATTCCTAAAGAAAAGTTGAGATTTTGAGAAGCAGTAAGAAATGAAGCAAAAAGAACTAAACCGGAATGACAATTTCTTATTCCTTTTTACTGTATTTAATTGGCTGTTTGATAGATTTTTGTTTATTTTTTAGTTAGTTTTAATCAAATTCAATTCATCTTTGGTTGTTTCTTTTACCTAGCAAATGTTACTTGTAATTTTGACAGTTCTGATATGATTTTTCAATTTAATAATTAATTCCTCCTCTTGATCTATGCATCAAATACAGTGTTAAAGTTCTTTTGGTTTGCTTTCTTCCATTCTTTTTTTAAGGATGTACTAGGGACTGTGATTAAGAGGTTTTGAAGATCCACTTGCTCTCCCTGATGCTCTTGTCTTGCTGACATAGCAGCCATGTTGGCAGCCTCATGGCTGGTGGCTAGGCAACAGGTTGGGTGTTGCAGGTACGTATGTGTTGTTGCTATTGTTATTAATTGTTGTTATGTTTTTGTTCTTGTTTGATGTTGCTGCTGCACGCATTGAGGTGTTGTTTGGGTGGGATTTTAATAGAGTTGTTCTGTAATTTTCTCTAGGATTTCCTGTGTGATTTAGGGTATATTGAGGGTGTTTGAAAATATTATTGCACTCTTTATTCCCCTGTGTTTCTTGCTCTACTATCTTCTTGTGCGTTCATTTTCCCTTGTATGTGATTACTATGGCAGAGGAATTGGTAAATAAAAAAAAACTTATGGATGATTTCAATCAGAAATGTGAGTAACTTGATTAGAGAACAAAACAACCAGATTGTCAGACTAAGGCTAGATTTGAGGCTTTCTCTACTCTATTTATTGACATCACAAAGAAGAAAAAGAAAAAGAATAGTGATGATGAGGGTGAATATTTTGGGTTTCATATCAAACCACTAAATATTGCCCTTAGAAGTTACTGAATATGGTGTATATAGTCATTCAATCAAGAAGATTTTCCCTTACTTTATAACATATAGAAATGGTATGAATCAAGAGTTAATGAATTTACTGAATTATGCATGCTGTTAATTGAAATGGTATGAATCCATAGAACTAACAACTTTTTGAATTAGTTTAATTTATTTTCATGTGCCAATTTAGAGTAGCAAACAAAGACCGTCTTTGATTTAGCTCTTCTGGTGTTCCCTATGTTACTTTAGAGACATATGATTGTATTTTAGGTACTTGCAAACTGAAATTAATGTCTTGTTGAGCAGTTGGAAGCTTATTAGGATATGAGCTAAGTAATATTCATGTGGATTACATGCTATTAATTATTAACTTAGTTGCGTTGTGTTGACCAAGAGTTGTGGTCAAAAGGTCAATGTTACTGTTTAGACTATAAATTTTAGTTTGGTGACTAGATAAACTGCGTTTTAGATCTTTTGATAAAGATAAATTCTTGTTGAATTGATTTATATAGCCTCTTATGATCACTTTGGTAATGTTGACCTGTTTCTAATTAGTGATTTCCTTGTGCAGTTTGTCCCTTGTGTATGGACAGCGAGGTTTGTACTTTATCTTCTCCGAGCTGTGTAATTTAATGATAACATGTATTGACTATGATATCTTTATAGATTTCCCCAATGGATTTTCAATATGTTTGTTTGGTTTGCTGAAAGGTTATACATCATGAACTTCCAAACAATTCTGACTACTTTGTTCACCAATCCCTTATAGTAAAACAAATCATTGCTACTATTGATTGGTTTTAGAATTTTTATATTCATTAATGTCACAAAACTATGGTTAGATATTGGATTAATTCATGAACAATACATATTTTAGGGTTTCATTATGTATACTGTATATTTCAATTTTTTGTGCTACCGTTTTAGTTTAGAAAAATTAACCATTATTCACACATTAAAACTTATACGAATGAAGAGCGTTGTTTGCTTAATGGTTTAAAAAAATAAAAAAAAAGGGGAACATTCTTTTGATATTACAGTTTGTTTAAGTGTTCCTTTTTTAATTTTTATTTTTTATATGAGTCAGGTTATTGATGTTTATGTCTATTTTGGTTGTTCCTAACAGATTTCACGTTTTTTTTTCTTGGATGATGGCTATTGTAGACTTATTGGGTTTGAAGTGAGAATAGAAGCCTCTTGGTTATATTTGTGTGAATTGTTTGAAATTCTAGTTTTTTTTTTATTTTTGCGCATTTCAAAACAAAATCATTTGCCATTGTTCTAAATTTTTTATAAAAGATAAGATTCATTGTCACTATCCTATTATTTTTGATAAAATTATCAGGAAAAAAAGAGGGGGTTAAAGATAATGGATCCTACAGTAGCAAGCTTCAATGGGGTGCTCAATAAATTTAAATAAAGAGGAAGTTGCAAATATCAAATCTAATTGCATCCTCTTTTTGGTTGACAAATAACCCTTCTACTACTCTCTGTTGCTTTAATGTTGATATTGGATTTTAGTAATGGCTACACTTTTGAGAGCTTATGCAGGAAATAGGCCAACTTGGAGGACCCCTTAGCACCCTTGGAGGGTCAAGGATTTAGCCCAAGGGTGTTCCAACCCTTATTCGCTGGGAGAATTATGTATGTTTCTGCTACGCATTTGGAAGACCAGAGGCTCACATTGAATCAAATATTAGTGCCGAGTTTGTAAAGCTAATGCACCCACCCCCTAGACTGAAATAATAAACTTGCTTAGGTAATCGTTGTAGTCTAGAAAAAAAATAAAAAACCAAAACATAACTTATGTCTGGTTATTAGGGGCTATTCTGCCGAGTACGGTTGTTACCAGTTAATAAATGTTTAGAAATTCTGTTTTATCCTACCTTTATACTGTACATATTAATCATAAAACACTTGTTATTTTTGAAAATCAAACTATGTCTTTTGGGTAGCAACATTTTTTTCAAAAGTGAGAAGAGAAACCTCCTAGTTATGTTGGATTACTTTTTGTGGGAGGTCATATTTGTTTGTATCTGGTTGTGTTGGTGTTTTATATTTTTCTGCTGGTAGAGTACCATAGCTTGGAGTTTTTTTAAGATTTGTCGCGGCTCTGTATTGTTGCTGTTGTTATTTTATCGCCCTATAGCTGCAGTTCTGTTGGTCCCAAAAATTTTAGACCTGCAGTCGTTTTTAGCCTCTAGTCCCTTCATAAAAAGTTATCCAAACTAGGCTCAAGAATTTCTCAATTTGGAATTTTGTGCTAGGAGTTATGCCTTCTGGAAGTTTCTGTGGTCTGCTGACTTGATTCTATTGCAGTGGGCTGTTATTTTTACTTGACGATAGTGTGGGTTGTTGTGTTGAGTTGGGTGGGCTTGCTGAAATTAATACTCTGGCTTTTCTTATTTGTTTTAGTATATTTTTCCTCTAGTTAATTATATGTTACTGTAGCTTAAAGCAGATCTATGGTTGTGTTCTTGCATTGAAATGCTTGATTTTGGTGCTTTACAGAATATGAAGTGACTTAACAGGGGAAGGATTCGTTACATACACTAAGGCAATTTATCAGCAAGAGGTGTAAAGAGTAAGAGGAAATTTTATAGCAAGAGGTCAGAACAGCAAGAGGTGGCTGCTTACTTGGGTTGTTCACAGGTTATCAATCCCCAGCAATTATTATTGTTTTATGTAAATTCCTACTATTAGAAAAAGTTGCAGGTTGATTACTATTTTCTGATTATCGTATATACACACTCATATATATAAACTCGCTGTACTTTCCACAACTTTACAAGTAAACTAGTTCACTATTGAACATACACCGACAAGGTAAAGGTAGTAAGGTACTAGATTTGCCATTTCTATTAAATTATCCATTGAACTGAAAATTGAACTATATGATTTGGTTGATGCAATCCCATGTCCATTATATGTATATATGACATGTTTAAGTAAGAAATAAATAATATGCCTTGAATTGATTTTCCATGTAAGAGGGGTTTAAGTGCAACATCCCCCCTATGATTGCTCTGAAGCTAGTGATATTTATTATATTTTAACTACCGTTGTCTATTGAGATGTGCGGTTTTCTGTCTTCTTTATATAGGTTTATCAAAAACTTTGTTAACTCAAACTTGGATATGAGTGTCTTGCCCTACTGAAGTTTCAGGTGTAAAACTACAACTTTCCCTCTCTTATCCCTCTAGCTTCCCTCTCTCCATTAAAAAGAAATGTATCTTTTGCATTTGCTCATTGCAGTTTTCATGCGGTTGTGATTCTGATTTCTTCAAACTGTTTATATGCTTTTGTCATCCCAGGCCACACTAAACCACTAGTTCCTGCCAATGATCCAGAAACATCAAAGGGTGTGTTGTGACTTCAAGGCCAACAATGATTGGTCACAATGTGAGCTTTGCTTTATGCCCCCTTGCAACCAGATTAAGGAGCAGCTAAATTAGAGATTGATAGAAGGTTTTTGTGATGAATTTAGCAGATTTGTTCCACTACAACTAGTCACGAATGAGATATAAGTTGGAATCATATAAAGTATACGATGAATTGAAGTACTTCGTATATTGTATTGATGGTGAGATAATATATGATTCGACAAGGAAACATAAAGTAATATAATTAGGGTATTACAATAGTAGACGAACAAGTCAATTTACATTTTGCTGAAGGACTAGTCACTATTAGGGATGTCAGTAGAGCGAGGCGGGGCGGGGCGAGGCGGGGCGAATGTTGGCCTTCCCATCCCCATCCCCTTCCCCATCTAAAATTTTCATACTCATCCCCATCCCCATCCCCGCGGCGGGTTTAAAATTCATCCCCAACCTCTCCCCAGCGGTTACAATTCCAAAACCATCCCCACCCCAACCCCCACTTGGGTATCCACCCCCACCTAATCCCCGCCTCCAAAATACACAATCCTTCATAATCAATAAAGATTGCAAAAAGAGAAAAATTATTGTTAATATTACACATTTTTTTGTTTATAATATAAGTGTATTATAAAGTATTATATTTATTATTTTATTTTAGGAAATTTTGACTTTTGGTACCACAAAAACACTCGGGTTTCATTTTTGCTACCGCTCAAATTTTTTTTTTTTTATTTTACTACCACATAAAAGCACATTTGTTAAAATTTGCTACCACTTAACGGAATGGGTTAAGATTCCGTTAAGTTTATTAAAAAAAAAATTAAAAAAAAAAAAAATCAGCCACCCTCCCCCCTCCTTTTCCTCCACCTTTGCAACCCCACCACCCTCAACTGCCCACCAGCCCCCTCCCATCAGCCAGCCACCCCCCTCCCCCCTGTCAGAGACGACGGCCATATCTTGGGCCAACGCCGGCGACCCCACCCCAAACCTTTTCCCCCACCTACGCCGGCGACCTTTAACTCCATTGATACTCACGCACAAAGCTTAAGGAAAGGGGTAACATGTTCATTTCTTCACCAAAACGCACAATATTAGTACCAAAATGTTCACAATGCAACACACTATCATTTGGGATCAAGAATTGCGCAAATACATTTGTTAAACAAAAACCCCCAAATCGATTTTTCTAGGGTTCTTCGCGAAATGAAGGGGAGGGGGGTCGATTCAGGGTGGGGGAAGGGGAGGGGGGTCGATTCTGGTGGTGGGGATGAGGAGGGAGGGTTGTTTCCGGTTTCGGGGTGGGGGTTGGGGCAACGAGGAAAGGATAAGGGAGGGGGTGGGTTGCGTTGAGGGTGGCTGGCTGGTTTCTTTTTTTTCTTTTTTTTTTTTAATATACTTAACGGAATTTTAACCAATTCCGTTAAGTGGTACCAAATTTTAACAAATGTGTTTTTATATGGTAGTAAAATAAAAAATAAAAAATTGAGCGGTAGCAAAAATGAAACCCGAGTATTTTTGTGGTACCAAAAGTCAAAATTTCCTTTATTTTACATAATTTTTTTTATAGAATAGTATATAAAAGTATATAATTTTGTTTTTAGAAATATATAGATGTGGGGATGGGGTGGGTACGAAGTGGGATGGGTGGGGATGGGGCGGGTACGAAGTGGGGCGGGGCGGGATGGGGCGGGTACAACTTAAAATCCACCCCCACCCCATAACCCATGGCGGGTATGGTTTTTATCCCCATCCTCGCCCCATCACCCCAAACCAAGACCCATCCCCGCCCCACTGACATTCCTAGTCACTATAATAATTTTCTGTAATACATTTTGTGATCTTAAAGTAAGACAAAGAAATGAAAGATTGGATGCTTCATACTTCATTCATATAAAATTTTAACTAGTTTTTAGGTATGGACGATGTCTCGATTTATTGCATTTTCCTTGATAAAAATCCTTATTAATATTTAATTATTATTGATTGTCATATTAGATGGCAACAGTTTAATGGCTAACACGTTAGACCTTTAAATTTAAGATTGTGAGTTTAAATCTTGTAAAAATCGACTAAAAACCGATTAAATAAGAAATGCATTATGTGGCAGTGTGGCACCTAAACTCATTTAGAAATGCTTAAATTTCTATAGACGATAACTCGGGTCGAGTCATTACATGTAATGTAAAATTAGGGTGTTTTTTTTTCTTTTTCCTTAGGTGGAGATAATAAAAATGTTTGGATAAGAGGCGACAGAATATGGCGGGGTATAGTAGCATATGGTATAGAATATAGATTAACTACATATACAATGTACTTTGTACTATGTACTACGAGTATTTAAGTGAGGAAGGTTTGACTAGCTTAGGAAGCATTGAGGTCTGAAACTTCAGATAAATAAATTGACGTAAGAGATGTATTAATGGGTTCTTAAGAGATTCTTAACCATTGGTTAAAGACTTGGCTTTCTTATATTTGTACTGTATAAGTCTTTGAGCCTTTGAGGTGCCTTCTTTTCTTAATTCTTTACTTTCCCTTTTTTTTTTTTTTTCCAAATGGTCCCGAGATCATTTCAAACACGGCTAGCTAAAACACAAAACCCAACATGATACATGGGCCAAGATCACGGTCCACGCCCTGGTCCGTATTGGGCTTCAGTCCCATTTTAAAGCCTCAAAATTATGAATTTTACAAAATTAAAAACTGGTCCGACATTTTCAACAAGTAGAAAACGAGGGAACAAAAAATCAATAAAAGCTGCGAGTAACATTAAAATTCATTGAATTCATCCTCCAATGACCAATTAGTTTTATCTCCTTAATGTCATCATCCATTAGTGGGTTCCAATATTTTGGCAATTTTCAAAACATCTTTGTACTATAAATAAAGAAAGTTTGTATGTATAGCCGAGTGTACGGTGCACTTAAAGATATTGTTTGCTCATATTATTGATTATTGCTCTTTTAATTATCAAATAAGCAAAAAATACTCTTGGGTGCACCATGCACCCGGGTGTATATAATTATTTTCAATAAATACTCGATTTGTCTCTATTTTTTTGCCCCATTTAACTGTGCACAGTCTCCAAGACGCGTCTTAAAATGTCTACATCTTTATTTCTGTACACGTAAAAATTATAAAAACGTGATATTAATAAAATATACAATAAATCGAAACTAACAAGACCACTCATGATTATATTATCTCTTACAAATTAACGGTAATTTACGATCAAAATTTTCAAAATTTGACCCAAAAAATGGCAATGGGGCAAAAATATAGGAACGGAGGAAGTACAAGTTATAAGATCAAAATTCAATATTGTGGGGGATGATCAAGTCATTTTCTTAATTTTCCTCTTCATTTAATATTTAATATTTTATTTTATTGATTATTAGCAATATGTTATCTTGAGGAGTAGTATAGATATGGCAAATGGCAATTTAATCAACCATAGACTTGTTCCTTGGTCTCAAACCATTACAACAAGAGTATATTATTGATGTAAGTCTTTTTCTTGTACGGTGTAATTAAGACCGTTTAACTATATATTATTATTATTATTATTATTATAGAAAAATAACAAAAATCTATAAAGTCAATCGATTTACAAAAAATTAGTGGGGAGTCGAGATACAATTCGGGCCCCACCCCTCTAGTTATAGCAAACCCGATCCCACTGAAAATGCAAGCAGCTGCTTGAGCATCTATATCCTAAGTCTTAGCGAACGTCTAAACCCGTTTCAGCAACGCAACAACATTCTTCTCTTATTTTTCAAATAAAGAAAAGGAGAAATTCATATATGAGTGGTCAATTTTAATCATTATTAAATAGGCATGGTAATAGCCACTCATGTTTGACTAAGGGGTTCTAACTTCTAAGTTAAATGACACTTGAAATAAATCCTCGTTAAGACTTATTGAGTTATATTACGCATATATATACCCTTTATGTGGTAAATTGTAGAATTGTAGCGTCTAGCTTAATGATATATTTTATATTATCTTTCAACAAATACTAAATGAATCATAAAAGAAAGATTATGTATTTGAGTACGTACTTGTGTTAACCTAATTATCTCGATCTTTTACTTACTAGTAGCTTGAAATAAAAGAATAATTTATGGGAAGTATACGAACAACTTAGCTAGAAAATCATAGTGGTTGAACATATGTACAAATAAAAGTAAAGTCTTCCTTGAATTTATAATTTTAGTTTTAGTTAGCTTTTATTTAGTACTTAGCATTAATATATATTGGATTTATTACATGAATAGAATGTACGTACATGATGAACATCATAATAAAGGTGATTAAAAATCAATCACATGCTTCTCACTTACTGTCGCATGAATTTCTTGAAACCATCCTTTTTCGTATAGTTCACTCACAAAAACCGCCTTAGTCATACACTTAATTCGTGTTTTACACTCGTTTTACTAACAACGTGAAATTATTAATTAGAGGTGAAAATATAAAATCAACGTATGATATATTTTGTATTCCGTTCATAATAATAAGCTCTCAAAATCATGTTATTTTAGCTAATATAATACGAGTACTCGCAATAAGATTCAACCTCAAAAGCTCCAATGAGGTACGCATCGAAGTGTATATCTTTTCTTCATAAAACAGTATGTTAGCAAGAATAATACAGTTCTTTTTAAAACTACAAAGTATATCATTATATGCTTAATCGTATCATTCTGATTAAATAGTATCATTAAAAAAAATATTTTAAAAAAATTCAATTATAAATCCTAATAATGAAGTTTTGAAGCTAATAATGTAAATTTTAGGTTCAATTAATCCCCACTACTTAAGATTATTAATTGAGTATAAAACATAATGATTAATAATAAGAATTTGGTATTTAAATTGCAGTTTAATTGGTATTCCAAAGAAAAATACAATACTTTGTTATAATTTATTTATGCTAGTTAAACAAATCCTAATATGACTTGCTAATTTGAACAGGTCGGTCAACCAAAGCAAAATGTATTGTGTTTGATGAAAATATGAAATGTTCTCTTTTGTTTCCTAAACTTGTTTGATGCATATAGAATAAATTAATCATTTGAGTACATTTTTTTCTCATAAAAAATGTTTATTATAAAGTATACGTAGTATATCGTACTGATGGTGACATAATATATGATTCGACAAGGAAACATAAAGTAATTAGGGTATTATAATATTAGACGAACAAGTCAATATTAGACTAGTCAGTAGTCA